ATGGTTTTATAATGTGCTTACCAGAACTACATACAAACTACGCGTTGTATGTATATAATCTGTAGAAAACATCAGGGTCTGGTCACCGGTATGATGTCATCAGAACGCCTTGGCGGACTCTCAGAGATGATATTTAGTCATGCTCCCGGTCCACCTCAGGACTCACCAATGGGTCCACCGTCGCTCAGACACTAGATGTCGATCCACCTTAAGGAGGATAGGGATCTTATCTGTCAGCTGCATATCCAGGAATGTGGAGCCATCTTGGTTTGTTTAAACTATGATCAGTTGAGCCCGTTGTCTAGAGAATGGAGGTATCCTTGCCATTAGTTGCTCAGGAACTGCTGCGTAAGATAAAGCAATCTTACCAAGAGACTTCACAAGGCCATAAATAAATTTAAGTGGTGACCCCTTCAGAAGAAGTCCGGAAGTGACAAAATGCGTCAGAGGACGTGGCGTCTGACATAACCGCGCAAACCGGAAGTGGCAGAGCGGCCATCTTTACTATTGGAAAACTGCATTTTAACGTTCCAGGAAGCTGCTCAGGCTATGTCATGGAAATATGCAGCTGACAGATAAGATCCATATCCTCCTTAAGGTGGATCGACATCTAGTGTCTGAGCGACGGTGGACCCATTGGTGAGTCCTGAGGTGGACCGGGAGCATGACTAAATATCATCTCTGAGAGTCCGCCAAGGCGTTCTGATGACATCATACCGGTGACCAGACCCTGATGTTTTCTACAGATTATCTACATACAACACGTAGTTTGTATGTAGTTCTGGTAAGCACATTATAAAACCATTACTACAAGGAATTTGCTATTTTCTCACCTGACCAGTTTGGCTACTTGGTGGACTTCTTGACCACCTTATGGAGCATTTCTGATATATACTAATTTTGTTTTTGGAGGACTCCTTATCTGGGACTATATTAATCTCGTTTTATTATAAATTAATCATGGTTTCATATAACATCTAGCGCTGTATATTCATGACATGTTACAGCAATATCCCAAATTTCATGTTTTTAGTAGGCTACTGGTCTTGGGAGTTTACCATTTACCACTGAAGGCCCGGGCATTGTGCCAGAAAATCCCCACAGTATAATCTGACCTCCCATAGCAAAACAGGGATTTTAATACAACATATTATCATAAAATAACCTTTTATTTGTTAACTGAAACTACCACTGAGAGGAACATACTTTCTTGAGTTTAAAAGGTTCCCATTGTTAATATCACTCCAGATTCACAAGCATTTTGGGCTGTGAGTTAATAGCCTTATAAAACAAGAAAAGGTCAGTTCAGCTACATGTTAAACACACATAACTATTCTTTCAAATGAGTTGCATAATTGAGTATTTTGTTAACCCCAAGAGCCTGCAATTCTGCCAAAGTGGATTGAGATTCTGCTGAAGAAGAAACATTGCACCAGTTAAAGCATAGATAAAATGTTGGTGGTTTTTATGGACAAGATAATACAAGCAGTACCTTAAAGTATATCAAAAAGCAATTTTTAAATAGAGTAAGGAAAGCTTAGAACACCTGTTAAGTTTCAATTCCTCTCTTGGCCCCCACCGCAAATGTGCACTATTTTTCCTGGTGATCACTGTTACAGGGACTAAACATGAAGGAAAATTCAAATATTTTAATAGTCACCAGAGGAAAAAGAGAGGGGTAATCTTTCAATGTGAATACTTGTTCGTGAGACATTAGTCTAAGACATTATTTATTTTCCATTGGAGAAATCTTCTCTCACTTCCTGTTGTATCTCTCTAGAGAGAAGGTGAAGGAAAGTCTGCCTATTGAACACAGACTGCCAAAAAAAGAGTCAATACTCTATCCAAAACAAAAAAAAAAGCTTTGATCATAGTTAGTTATACTTTAAAGTGTAAGGTTTGAATAGGTTACATTTAGAAGCGTTAATTGAGACAAAGCAGTACCCTGAAAAATTTACCTTTTTTGTCTTCAATACCTAAAAATAAATAACACTACAAATCCTGGTACAATGGGGCGCTATGTTCTTACATGATGGTCAATTCCCAAAAATTAAATTTCTTATTCTGGACCGGGTACATCCAAGCCAGAGAAGGGGTGACTGGAACAAGCAACTGTTGCAGTTGGAGCTTAGATGGATTTTCCATCTATATGCTACCTCCCCTCCCAGCTTGAATGAAGTAGTCACTTTCAGGTCCTTTCTGCAGGGGTTTGTATCTGGCGGTATGGAAAAATAGTCCATACAATAAGTCTCACCTCATCCATTCGTCCTGCCCAGGGGCAGACTGACAACTCATGGGGCCCCGAGCAATAAGGGATCATGGGGCCCCTATGTCCTTGTCCACACTCAAAAAAAGCCTATAAAAAGGTACCAGGGGCATTTCATGGGGCCCCCTACTGACCTCGGGCCCTCAGGCAGTGCCCGAGTGCTCGAATGGTCAGTCCGCCCCTGGTCCTGCCGATAGCTGTTATTGTTCTGATTCCTTGCCTTATATTATACATGGCTCTGATTTAATGCCCTATATGTATACTGTATACCTTTTGGTATTTTGTATAATTTTTTTAGATTTCCCTGCCTCATATTGCTTTTTGCCTTGTATTTTGTATTTTTTTGTACAGCTTCTGTATATGTGGTTTTGTATTAATATTTACCCATGGAGTTCTGTTTTGCTGCTCTCCCTGGCTCTGGTGTCTGGTGGGGATCGAACCCTGCAATTTGTGCATTTTCTCTCGGCGCCTGGCATGCTGGGGCTGTGCCATTGGGCTTTTCTGCCTAATGAATGCAACATTACATGGCCACTATGGCTTGAGGTCCGGCGGCCATGTTTTTCTCCCTGCGTGTCGGCAGTTGGCCGATGCGTGACATCATTCTGCACAACGTGGTGTGGTTATGTTGCGCACTGATGCACCGGAGGGTGGAGCCCAATGCTGTTCCTCGATGAGGCAGCATGGGATTGGCATTTGGGCACCATGTCCTTCCTCCCCACTTGTCCTCCTGGACAACTTTACCATTGCTGGATGATTGGATAACTCCTTAGGGGTTCTCATATATATAGAGCTATTTGATATCCAACACTCCTCTTTTCCTTGTTGGCTGTTGTGGATTCCCATAGAGTGTGGGGCTGCGAGTTCCTAGGGTGAGCATTGTGTGGATATTAATACCAAATAGGGGGCCTTTTTAGTAATTGGGGTATTGGACCTATCTTTTTTCTCTACTGTTGGTCCAATGATATATGTATTTATGTGGTTCTTTATGAATATTGTCCTTAAGGTCTATGTGGCTTGATCTGGTGTACACTTTGAAGACCTTTGTCTATATGCCCCTTTGCTCATCTGTATTGGCGAAGTAATTTTTGGGAAATATTCAGATGTCCACAACTCTAATGGTGGGTTCCCCCCTTAAGTGATGCAATGCCTCTCTCCATTGTTTTTAACATCTTTTGGAGATGTTTTACCACCTGATATCTAAGGCTCACCGGAGTGCTGGTTGTTGAGTAGCAACAAACTCTAACCTTGTTTTTAGGCTTGACTGAAGAATGTTTTCTTTGTTTTTTTACTCTCTTATGTTGTGAGTATATCATACATTTGGAACTATGTAAATATACTATATGGAACCATATTATATGTTCTTAATAAATGTATTTGTAATCTCACAGAATATATCACCTCTGTACAGAGTCTTTTCCCTGAGGAAGGAGTAGAATTATTCAGAAACGCGTCAGTTACTATAAGACAATTCCTGTAACTAACAATATCTTATGATGGTGATTTAACGATATATTATGACCTTTGGAAAATAGTTGACATTTTATGTTTTTTATATGTGTAAAAGTTTGATGGAAAATAAAGATATCATATATTTTTAAGCTTTATGTATCAATGCCTTAAAAGTCTAATTTAAATTGGGGGGGTTTCTCCTACATCTTCATCCTCTACCATGATGGCTGCTTCCACTTAGAGTCACAGTGCAGATCAAGTCATGGTAAGTCAGTAGTGGAGCAGGGAGAACATTGACAATTACTGGTAATTATTCCTTTGCCCTGTTTCTGCTTTTTTAGACACAGCTTCCAGAGTTAAAACTCTGGCAATACGCAGGCAAATGTGGCAATCCTGCGGTAAATGTGGATGGGGGTACCTGCCTGGGTTTGGTTTGTGTGGGTGTGTGTGTTTTTGGGGGGGGGTTATCAAATTCTCTCTGAAATTCATAAAACCAAAAGGAGTGAGTCCTACTGTTAAATACATTTTGGGGTGGTGTCTATATTTATCCTTATAGCATCCATTCCATTTGGCTTTAGTTATTCGCTATACATGTGGGTGAGTTGTTTCCATCTTTTTGTGGTTTTAAAGTCTTTGGGTGCCTCTGTCCAGCCCCACCTTTTGATATTAGGATTGCTGTCCACGTCTGCCTGCTTGGTTGTGAATCGTGGTGGTAATTTGGTAGATAGCAGATGAGTATATTTTGGAATTCCTTGAGTATTGATACCATCCATTTTTTCTATCATTGAGGCATTGCTATATATTACCTCTCTATCATTGGCTTCTTGCAGATTTGTATTAATCTTATATGCAGGTACACTATATTGCCAAATGTTTTGGGACACCTCATTTTACACGCACATGAACTTTAATAGTATCCCAGTCTTAGTCCGTAGGGTTCAATATTGAGTTGGCCCACCCTATGCAGCTATAACAGCTTCAACTCTTTGGTGAAGACTGTCCACAAGGCTTAGGAGTGTCTATGGGAACGCTTGACCATTCTTCCAGAAGCGCATTTGTGAGGTCAGGCACTGATGTCGGCCGAGAAGGCCTGGCTCACAGTCTACATTCTAATTCATCCCAAAGGTGTCTATCGGGTTGAGGTCAGGACTCTGTGCAGGCCAGTCATGTTCCTCCACCCCAAACTTGCTTATCCGTGTCTTTATGGACCTCACTTTGTACACAGGTGCGCAGTCACATTGGAACAGGAAGGGCCATCCCCACACGGTTCCCACAAAGTTGGGAGCATGAAATTGTCCAAAATGTCTTGATATGCTGACACCTTAAGAGTTCCCTTCACTGGAACTAAGGAGCCAAGCCCAACCACTGAAAAATAACCCCACACCATAATCCCCCCTCCACCAAACTTTACACTTGGTACAAAGCAGTCAGGCATGTACCATTCTCCTGGCAACCACAAAACCCAGACACATCCATCAGATTGCCAGACAGAGACGCGTGATTCATCACTCCACTTCTCTAGAGTCCAGTGGTGGCGTGCTTTACACCACTGTATCACATTTGGTGATGTAAGGCTTGGATGCAGCTGCTCAGCCATGGAAACTCATTCCAGAAAGCTCTGTATGCACTGTTGTGCTAATCTGAAGGCCACATGAAGTTTGGAGGTCTTTAACTAATGACTCTGCAGACAGTTGGCGGCTTCTCGCACTGTGTGCTTCAGCATGCGCTGACCCCGCTCTGTCATTTTACATGGCTGTTGTTCCCAGTTGCTTCCAGTTTGTTATAATAGTACTAACAGTTGACTGTGGAATATTTAGTAGCAAGGGCACTTCACGGATGAACTTATTGCACAGGTGGCAATCTATCACGGGTACCACGTTTGAATTCACTGAGCTCCTGAGAGCGACCCATTCTTTCACAGATGTTTGTAGAAGCAGTCTCATTGCCTAGGTGCTTGATTTTATACACCTGTGGCCATGGAGGTGTTTGGAACACCTGAATCCAATGATTTGGAGGGGTGTCCCAATACTTTTGCCAATATAGTGTAAATATGGCAGTGTGATTTGCCTTTTGTTTTTCCTGACTTTTGTCCCCCCTGTGACCCGTTTTTTTTCTGGATGTCGTGAGAGTGTGTTGTTATGTATTAATAATATTTTTCAAATGAATACATAATAGATTAATTAATAGGTTTTTTTCATCTCCTCTCCATCCACCCTCCATGTGGCATAATAACATTAAATGATTTTTTGATTTATGATTTCTCACTTTTTTTCGGTTTATTGTCATCTATTACATTGTATAATTATGTGTTACATTATTTGACAGTTACCATATCCTAAGATGAAGATATGAATGTGGATCCTGAAGAAGCTACTTACAAGTGAAATGCGACAATCCACTATGATTTAAAGCATGTATACTATCTTGCAGATGTGTTACTGTTGATGGATATGGTTTTTAAGTTATGTCTATTTTAATGTATAAATAAAGTATTTTTATTCAGTATCTTTTTGTTGTATTGGCACATTAAAATCCCTATTTTTCAGTGTTTCTCAAGTAGTTCTTTGTGAATCTAACCTTTTGTACTGTCCAAAACAGTGTAATAGTATAGTTTGGGAACTTTTTTCACAGCACCACACTGTATTATCTTGAAATGTATTCAAATTTCCAGGAGTGTGTAGCATTCCTGTTCCATCGCAGCAGCTGCTGGTCTAATTCCAGCATCCTGGTTTTGGCTGTGACACATTCTCCCTGACTGTCCACCTGCAAGGTGATTGATGTGGCCAGTCTCTGGAGATCAAACCTGATTTAAGCCAGCAAAGTCTGCAATCTCATCCTTGTGATATTGCGTTTGTAACATGTGCCCAAAGCTTCCTGTTTGTCTGCCAGTTTGGATTCCTTCATTGATGACATTGGATCAGATATTGACTGCTCTCTGAACTTTGCCATTTGACCCTGACTATTCTGAACATTGCCTGCCTTGTACCTGGAGTGTCATTGAACCACTCTGCCTGTCTGAAAACCACAAGTACCTGTTTGTTATGCTCAGCCTGCCCCAGCATGGTAATTAGGCATTATAGTATTGTGTATAAGACTTGGGGGCAACCAAGTACCGGTAAGCATGGTTACCATATGGGAAAGGGAGCTGCTATAGGTGAAGAACACAGAAGCTAGCTAAAGTGTCTGACCACCTGCGTTAGATGTAAGCATGACAAAAATGTCACATTCCCTGAAACCTGATTCCTCAAAAAAATATTCAAAACCAAAACTTCACATTCTCTAAACCCTTCCCATCCCCATATCCCCAATTTCTACCAAAGTGTATTTTTACAATATAGGTATTTTTAAAATATAGACTTTAAGTATGTGTTTGATAGAGATTGACGAGAGTCAGGACAGTATGCAAGCACTTGAATAGGTAGCAAATAGAGAGAGACAGGCAGGTTTTAGCTTACAATAAAAATGACAGTGTATTATTTGAGAGACAGTAACCATAAATATTGTTTAGTGGATGGACAGTATGTAGGCAGTATTACACAGACCACAATATAAGAGGGAGAGATTAGGCACGTTTTATGTTGAAAATAACATAAATAGCAACACATATTCTTGAGTGCTGGAACACTGGAACAGGCCATAAGCTTCAAGGATTTACCCTGCAGCAAACAATACAAATTTGGCACCTGTGGCCCAGCTTTTAAAACATTGTATGGCATCTTTACAGTGTATTACCACCCAGAATAGGTTGCAACAATCAGGATGCAACTTACCCCAGCAAACATTGTAAATCATGAAGCTAAGGTTGAGCTTCAGAAACATTGTATGGCACCTTTACAGTTTCAACATAACAGTGTTGTTTCGTGCCCTGTTCACCTCTGTGAACTGCAAAACACCTCTCCCTATGTTATAGAGAGGGGGAGGTGTTATGTACCCCTAACTCACTTCCTGATGTAAGGTAACAATGTTGCAACTCTATAGAACAGTACCACGAGGGAGTTTTTTCACCTTAGGACTAGTATTGTGTTACTGGCAGTAGTACTAGATGAAAATAAAGGAAAAAATCCTGAAACATTTTAAACTAAAGCAGTCACCATATATTTATGGACTAGTAAACTACAATATGCTAAATATTTATTCTTATGACCAGATTTACTATAATACAGCACACATCAATGCACAAAAAAGCGTGACTAGGTGTGAAGTATAGTAGTTTGTAGGTTAGAGCTACTCATTGAATTCAGTGAGCTACAGAGACAACTCTTAACAAGTAGTTAAATTTCTATGTAGCAAAGAGATTTAATTGCCAGTGTAGCAACACCCTTAGGGTGGAAAAAAATACACTCAGACTTTTTGACTTATGTTGTTTTAACAAGTTTAACTTTTTGACAGTTTAGCTTTAAGCAGCTTTATTTCATGTTTATTGTGTTTTCTCTGATCAACTAACAGTCTGGTTTTTTTTTTGCACTTAGGTGACTTTTGTCATCGGGGTAAGTTTGACTGCTCTGAGCAGGCAAAATAAATGTGATGCTACATCAGGCAAACTCTATTTCCATCACTAATCTTTAGGTGTCCTGGACTCCCTTTACTTCACTGAAAATGAAGCATTCATTTGTGGCTAATTCACAAAAAAATATTGCTGTTTTTGACCTAAAATGACCACTATCTTAGTATACTCAAATTAAATACAGATTCTAGTACTGTTAGTGGCATGCTGACAAACCAGAAGCCTTCATCTATGCATCTAGTGTTGAATGTTTTAATGCTGAATGTTCCGTGATTCTGGAAGCCTTCCTAAATTATATATCTTCTCTTCCAAATTGAAAATTAAGAAGACTCTGTGGAAGCATCCATTGGGTTTAAGAGAGCCTCTTTATGACACATTAAAAGACTTTGCATAAACTTTTCACTTAACATTTAATTTTCTAAAGGGCAAACCAAACCTGACCTTCTCAGTGTCTCACCTCACTCGCCCTTTTTACGTATTAAAGAAAATATGTATACATTTCAGAAACTCACAAACACACACTTACAGTGTCGAAGAGTGTACAAAGAATTTTAAAGCACGCCTTTGATGTTATATAGCAAAATATTATTATCTGTATTAGAGGAGGTTAAAGTGACACTAAACTCTGGTTTAAAAGAAAAAAAAATCTATCCAAGTATGTTTTCTTAACTCAAGAAGAACCGTCTATTGACCTCAGCCACCTCCAAATCTCCTTTTTTTTTGCTGCTGTGATCTGACTTTCTGTTAGAGGGTGGCTATGTTCATTCTCCATGATCTCACTCTATGTAGGAACATAGCCACCCTCTCTTGCTCACTCTCAATGTGAACTAGGGACTATGGACTTTGATTGTCATGTGTATTTTGCTCTTCAGTACCAAAAATTCTCCCTGTTTATTTTCCATGCACATGATTGAGTATTCTTTGCAAAGTGCATTTTTACCACATTCACTAAGGTAAAGTAATTTTTTTTTAGCAAGTAACAAACATGTCATACTTGCCTGCACTGTGCAGTGGTCTTGCACAGAGAAGCCCAGAACCTCCTTTTTTCAGTTCCCCCACTCCTGGCCCCTCCCTGCTGCCGAGTGCCCCCAGAGAAAGCAGCTTGCTATGGGGGCACCCAAGCAGTCTCGCTCCTGAGCCTCTGCACTGCATGTCCATTTGCACACAATGTGCCCCCCCTCTCTCCCCATTGGCTCACTGGCTGTGATTGACAGTAGCAGAAGCCATTGGCACCCACTGCTGTCTCAGCCAATGAGGAGGAAGACTTGCTTCTCATTATTATCATATTAGTATTAGGGGGGCTGGGGGGCCGCTGCACACAGAAGGCTTTTTAGAATGCATGAAGGTAAAAAACCTTGAGCATTTACAGGTTTGTACAGTAACATTTGTAAAAAAATATTCAAAGGATATGAAGCACCTCCCGCTCGAGGGAAATCCTTCATGGTACAGTGACATCTTGTTTTTGAAGCCGTCCAGAAAACCTGAAAAGCAATAAGAAAATAGCACATAAACACAATGTAGCCCTAACACTGGCTGACTAACTACATTTTTAAGGCACTTCAACATGGCAAAGTCCTTTAAGTTAGGCTTGGGGGGGAGCCCCTCTCAAAGGATTAATAAGAACTAGGCAGTCTCTTAGACAAGCTTCAGGCCAGCACATCTGGGAACAGAAGGATAGAGTCTGGCCTAGTCTGTGAAAAGCAAATATAGCAGGGCCTACTGGGTTGGGATTCTGCGTCAACCCTCAGTAGTATTGATTGAGACTGAGCAATTTGACAGCGGAGCTGTCAGTCCTTTCAGTGGAGCGATAGTATGCCACCTTAAGCCTCCCTGTCTTGACAACCACTATTCCATCCTTGTAAATAGCCCAGCCCCCAATGGGTAGGTCACAGCAGGCCAGCCTCTGGTGCAGGGATCTGTTGAGGGTGTTGGGGAGTCGTGGTCCCGAGACGCAACCCTTCTTTGAACTTCCAATGCAAACCATTCTCTGACCTTCCATCACTCCAGCCTTTCCATGCACAGTCCTGTGTGCAGGTTTACCGTGTTTGTGCATGGCGCCAGATTGCTGGGCAGTAGCCTGGTCAGTGGAACCACTCAATGCTCACACCTGATCCATGCTCTGATCAGGGCAGTCAGCCTCCTGAAATCAGCTCACAGCAGACACAGTCTCTGCACTCCTTCCACAAGCCGCCGCTATGTTGTAGAGGCCACTTCTAGAGTAGCCCTTGAATAAGCCCAACATGGTTGCTTTGGGTGACAACATAAGCAATAGTTCTTTAAATCACAGCAGCAATCACAATCACAGCAGTACAGCACACTCCACGGTTGCTAGAGGCAATGGCCATGCAGGTTACTACAGGAGATCCCAGATTTACGAGCCCCCACATGTAGCGCTACCCCCTTAGGGGTCGCTAGAAATTTCAGTCCTCCTATAGTCCT